GAATAGCTTGGATCTTCGTCCAAAGCCAAAGGACGGGAGTTTTATTTCCTTCTTTCTCTTCTAGGTACTATTACAACAAACGCATCCTTCACAAAACCAAAGGCAAGCGTTTCACGTACAAGTTCAACTTCACCAAGCTGATCCTGGTCAACTATCCGGGCTGGGACCTCAGCGCTCTGTCCAGAAGCTCGAGTGGGAGCAGCGCCTACCAGGTTCAGTCCAGCCTGCGAAACCAAGTGAGTTTTTCATGTCTCAGCGCCCACTCGCTGCCTGAAACTGGGGGCTCCCCAGCTCCCCAGAACTGCAGGCCCACCATACATATTGCCTGAGGCACTCCCACTGACACATAGATGCACATTTAACTCTGCGTTTCACATGGGGCGACAGAGAAAACAGCTTTGACTGGGGAACCTCCTGGGTGGTTTCTAAGAATCCATCCGGGGGTCCCCCCAAATCTCCAGATCAAGAACCATTGGCCGAGAGCAGGGGTTCCCAAACCTTTGTGTCAGCCGAACCCCTTCAACCTAAATAATTTGCCTCGAGTACCCCCTTGGGATTTTAACTAAATCAGACTTTTCAAGAAATGTAGATAAATGCTACAGCAACCCTCTTAACATGCTTCTGTTCACTTTGTAAAATATTAATACTGTATTACTACTGTTGTTTTTCTTATTCTCATTATTACATTATTACATGGTCCTATCCTTTATTGGAGCACTGTAGACTCAGCCAGTTATTTATTAATAGGACTATTTAACCTGACACTGACGTTTCCATCACAATCTCAAAAATCCCTGATGGAGAACCCCTGGCCTAGAGCACTGCAGTAATGGAGAGCACTCTCTGCTTAGATATGTCAAAGTCCTTGTGAAGAATGAGCAATGGTCCTATCCTTTATTGGAGCACTGTAGACTCAGCCAAACACCTGGTCCTTCACACACAGGAAAGCCCAATGTGCACTCTGACTTCTGATACAGGGAGTCATACAAAGCTCCAGCAGTTCAGTTATGCTTCCTTGATGACAGAGCCATAGACACATAGTCACTACAAACACCATAAGAATGCAGTGGTTGCACGCTCAGGCCAGGAGCTCTTAAGTTGGGAAAGCTGCCCTGCTTGTGACCCGTCCTGTCACGCCCTGTACTCCTAGAGGGCGCTCTACTTCTGTCCTGTTCCTAGTTCCCTGTGATTATTCATGTCTTTCTGGTGTGTCTTGTTGTGTAGCCTATTTACTTCCTGGGTCTGCTCCACTCCTGGCTCAGCATTGAGGGTACGGATGTCTTGAGACCTGCCTAGCACCAGGTCGCTCCTGTACGTGCCCTGAGGGCATAGGTTTCTATTCCGACATTGTCTGACCCCCTTGAGCCTGGGCTAATCTCCGTGTTGTCCCCTTTTTACCGCTAATCATAGGGTCTTTATTGCTCTCCTGGCCATTCCACGGCATGCCCTTTCCCGACATCCATAACACCTACAGAACCGCTACACCCACCCTTTGTGACTGTACCTCCAGCCCCTAGCTGTTGTCAGAACACAGCCCTGATGTCATCTTTTGCGGTCCCCAGCGTGGATTCTAAAAGGGGGTACTCCTTTATGAGCAGGAGAGTTTCAGGGTAACTGGTGTCACCACCGATGTCTCCGACTCGGGCTGTGGTTTTCATGTCTCTCCTTCTCCCTGCAATTCACCCTGTGGCCAGGGGGAGGTGCTGCCTGCCAACATACTCTGAGAAACCATCAGCCCTTATTCTCATCATCATCATGTCAATCTGTCAGTTCCTGCAGAACCTGCTGTTCACCCAGAGAGCCCTGGTGAACCAGATCAGCTCTCGGAGAGCAGGGTGTCCTGGTGACGTCACCTGTGGAGTGGAGGGGATATCAAAGATGCCAGGGCTGGACAGAGGTAGGACACCTACAGGGTTTGGTGGGGGGAAGGGGTGAAGAGGGATATCAGAGCCTTATTTATCAAACTCAGGGAAGCCTGCAAAATTACAGCTCATGCCATGGACTGGACCAAACTTCCAGTCCTCATAAAGATACGTCACTAGCTTGGGTCTAGAGAACTGATCTGCAGTACAAAGATTAAAAGCAATCAATGGTTTGGCACTGACGACTACGATCAATTTAAATCTGCTTTTCACTGTGGCTCTGTATCTTACACGCCTGGCTCGAGTCCGGCTGCATACCTGTGGGCTGGAAAGATGATCGGTCCAGACCACGGGTGATCCCGACAGGTGCAATAAGAAATGAACACCCTTGAGGGAAGACAGCTGCCCCACCATTGCAAAATGTTACATGCTTTTCATTGTGTTGTTTTTAGTTACAAGCGTCAGTAAGTGTTTCAAATAATTATCCAGGAGAACATCAGAGAGCAAGCGTGGCACAGCAGCACAGCGGTTTGCGTTATTGTCCCTGGGGCCCTGGGTTCAATTCCAGACCCGGGGTGCTGTCTGTGTGGAGTTTGTGCTTTCCGTGTTCGTGTGGGTTTTGCTCTGGATGCTTTGGATCCTCCCACAGGCCAAAGATATGCTGGTGTAACCCACTTAACCAATTGGGTTCTGGGAAAATTGGCCTTGGTGTGAGTGTGCATGTCTGCCCTGTGATCTTGTCTTGCGCCCGTTGCTGGCTAGGAAAGGCTCTGGCTCTCCTGTGAGCCCAAGTTGGAAGATGGATGGAACTTTAGAGAGCACCTTGAATACTACTGGAAAAAACAAAATAAAAACGATAAAAAGCACAAATAAATGGGTGTCTGTATGTTGTAACTAAGTGGTAAAGATCTGCAATACTAACTGTCTAATCCTACCTATAAATACTGAATTATCCCATTCATCTTCAATTGCAGCTCTGCATTTGGCTCGCCACCCGTTTTTTCTGCACCCCTGCTGTCTCCCAACGCCCCTCCCCTTCCC